TAAGCCAATATAACAAACTGATTTTGATGCTTGGAACAATTTAAGTGGACAGATTTCGTCGTTACCTGTGCATTTTTTGCCATCGCCATCAAACCCAGCCTTGCAGGTGCAGTTAAAGGAACCTTCGGTATTGTTGCACTCAGCATTGGTATCACAGTTGTGCGCATCGGTGGTACACTCGTCTACATCTGTAGAAACAAATCCTTTCCGTTAATAATGCAATTAAATAAAATTGGTATAAGCTTTTGCATGTATGTTCTGATTGGATAACCCGTGAAACTCAACAGGACTAAAAGTTCACTGAAAGTGCAACGCGTGGAATGATGTCTGGGGACCAGTCATTTTCAATCGGATGGGGGAAGAGGAGTTTGGGAGGATCACATGGTTTTCAGGGGGAATAGATACAAAGAGTGATACATATATCTTGATAAACTGTTGGTTGTGTAGTATCGCTTAGTATTTTTACTAGTTGTGCCGTATTATGACGAGCCCTTCGGGCGAGTCAAAATGCAGACAACGAGTAAAAATGTTATTCTTGGCATGTGTCAGTGTTGGGTTGATTCCATTACAACGTATAATGGAACCCTAATGATTGGCATTAGAAACAGCATTCTGATTAGTTGAAGAATGCCCTAATGCTATGATTTAATTGGAAGGTGATAAATACCTAAAGTGGCAATCTGATTGGTTTGTGATAAATGAAAAATGAGGCAATCAGATTGGTAGGTGATACCTACCATAGTGCAGCAATATGACTGGTTTGTGATGCATGAAAAAAGCAGCAATCTGAATGGTACGAGCGACATACCACTCTTAATGCTGGCATCGAGTTATTCATTAGTTAATTTTTTTTTAAATAACTCAATAATGGATGGACTTTCTCCAATGAAAAGGCGGAACATTTTCATATTTACTGCAGCTGAACTCGGTTTTGCATTTGCATGAGTAGGATTCGTCTGTGTTATTGCAAATTATCGCGATATAGATACACGCAAGATGTTTTGAGAGCAAAAGAGAGGCTCTCGTCATGTTTAGGCAAATACAAACAAAAAAAAGAATTATGAATGCTGGGTAAACTCTAGATGGACAAATGTCATTATCTCCTGCGCAGTTCTTGCCATCGTCATTAAACCCCTCTTTGCTGCTGCAGTTGAAGGAACCTTCGATATTGTAGCAGTGAGCATGGACACCACAGTTGTGGGTATCGGTGGCACATTCGCTTACATCTTAAGAAGCAAATGCTTTCCGTTGAAAAAAAAGTACTGACAAATCATGAAGGCATATTCAAGAATTAGTCGTACTGTTTAACCTGTTATATGCGACTTTTTACAAGACTGAAATATCACATATACAACTAATCCAAAAGTAAACAGTCTGAAATCAAATTAATTAATAGACGCGTCCTCAAGAAAGGACACCAGCCCTCTAAGGCGAAAGAGGGCGCTAGACGTGCGTGTCGTGATACTAACAATGATTGCAGAATGAAAATAGAACTGTGCTTACGAAACATTAATTGTAAACTTGACTAAACTCCAAACACAAATAATGTAATGCAACCAAAACAACAAAGACAAAACTTGTCGTGCACGACTCCTAATTCGTTTGACGACAGGAAGTAGCACTCTAGACACGAAACGCTTAAAGAAATGGATACTGCGACGGATGCAAAGCGTGATAAATGACACATTAGCAGCCATCTGATCCCTCAAATTACTATTCAAAGCTTTCTTATAAAAATTTTTGATGTTCTTGATACGCTCGTCAAGTTTAGGCAAATAGATCAAACTGATCTCGATGCTTGGAACAATGTCGATGAACAGATTTCATAGTTACCTGTGCATTTCTTGCCATCGCCATTAAACCCAACCTTGCAGCTGCAGTTAAAAGAACCTTCGGTATTGCTGCACTCAGCATTGACGTCACAGTCTGGGGTATTGGTGGTACACTCGTCTACATCTGTAGAAACAAATTCTTTCCCTTAACAGGTATCTTCTGGTTGGATGACCTTTGACATTCGACAGCACGTAGAATAATGTTTGGGGACCAGTCATTTTCTATCTGGCGGAGAGGGGGGGGGTTAAAAGGATCACATGGTTTTCAGGGGGAACGGATGCAAAGTGTGTTACACATATCTTAATAAACATTTTATTGTGTAGTATCGCTGAGTATTTTTACGAGTTAAGCTGTATTTTGACGAGCTCGTAGGGCGCCAAAATACAAACAACAAGTAAAAATACTCAGAGATACTACGCAGCAAAATGTTTAATGAGAGATTTATTATCCAACGCATCAAACTTTGTTTCCAGTGCGGGCGAATTTCGCGGATATCTATTTACGGGGAGTGCAAAGCGGTGCGGAATCAGCGCGTTGTCTTGTTGCTGTTTCTATTTTCTTTAATAAATGATGAAATTTCAATGTCGTCTAACTGTTTTTCTTCCTTTGCTTTATCTAATGAATTTGGATCAATATTTGCTAGCCATTCCGACTCTTCGTTGTCAGAAAAAAAATATTTTAATTTTCCGCCAGTTTTGTTTGTAACTTCAGTCCAATTCGTCACTTGCGCGATGTGAGAAAACCTGTCTAAGCGGTTTTGTGAAGTACAAATACCGCGAGACATTTGTACTCGTCATGGGCCTTATTTCTACTCTATGAAGCACAGTTGGATAATAAATAACTCGTAAGTCATCGGAAGACATGTCGAGGCATACGAGACCATGGTAACATGAATGCAAAAGAGACGAATAATTGTAGTAGCTAATATGATTATTAGAGCGCATGTGCAAAATAACTCTTGCCTTTTTCACAATGTTCTCCCGTGTAACCAGGTGGACACAAACACTTGTATCCCTTGTTCGTAAATCCAACCAGGCAAGTTGCATTGTTGTAGCACATGTTGTAACAACACTTGTTCTGATGGGAAAAGATACTAAGCTTTATTTTTTTTGCGAGCGATTTATAGTTCTCATCTCTACGGGGCATACTTACAGTTTTTCATATTTTGTGTAACAAATAAAGAAGCCTCGACTTTGCTCTGTTGTGTTGCAAAGTACGGAGTAAGCAGCTAAAGAACAAAAGAAGTGAGGAGGGAGAAATGAGTCGTTCTCCATTCTTGATACACTGATAAAACATGCTGTCTCAGCCAATCAGAACGCGCTTCATATAAGAACTTTATTTTTTCAATTAATATATCGTTTTTCCTTTTTAACCGATTCAGGTGTTTTTAGACTCATTTTGAAAGGTTTTGAAATGAAATTTGCCTCATCTGAGTTGCCGAGGACTCACAGAGGAGCGAGGAAACTCTATCAAACGGTACACAAGGCTTACGAAAAGCAGCAAACTCAAAAACAAAAAATTAAGTATTTTATTTTGAGAATGGAGGCATGG